CCTTGGTTGAAAGGGTCACTGCTGTGGTATTCACTGGCTCCTTGGTTGTCAGAAGGGTTCCTTTTGTGGGTCCCACTGTTGGGAAAGTTACAACAGTTAGGATAAAACCAGACCATTTTTGTAGATAGGGGATTATGTAGTTATGAACATTTGACATGTGGGGGTTACTATTGAATGTTCAGAAGTTCTCCTTGCAGTGCCAAGATCAGAGACATGCAGCTACTGTAGACAAGAATGGGAAGGAGCGAGCTTGTTTTAGGGAGTCGATTCAGTCACTGTGACCATTTAAAGTCAAAAGAACAAATATGCAGGTGTTATAGCTCTATCCATACCTTATGGTAGATCAAGGCCTGCAGGCCTTAAAGACAGCTATAAAGTACAGCTTTGTTAAATCCAACTTAAGGCCAGTTGAGAATAGTATGGCAGTAGGACCCAAAGTTGGAGTGCTTTTGGGGACAGGAAAGGGCAAAGGTTACCATTTTAACAAGCAGGCTAAAGGCTACCCATGCTCAAGAGATTGAACTGAGAACTAGACATTTACACCAGAAACAGGCTGGAGCTGGCTTTAACCCTTGCTCTAGATAGAGAAATATTTAAGTTAGTCTACATTATCAGTGGTAAAGTGGTCACATTTACTTGAGACAGCTAATGTTTTAAAAAGGTTAATAGAATTAAGAACCAAGACTAACCCTTCAGGTGCTACCAGGAATCATTTGATTGCTCAAGCATTTTGTGCTCTTAGAGAGCAAAGGAAAGGCTAGATGAAGCAACAAGTGAGTTAAATCAAGTGCTATCAACTAGGCACAGTACACAACTGATCCAGGACAATAGCAAGTGTTTTAAAGTAACAGAATCTAACCTCTATAGAGTGCAATGGACCATTAGCTTCTTGTACAGGAAGAAATTTGGTTTGTGGCCAAAGCCTTTGTGCAAAACCTACCAGTCACAGAAGCCAGTGATGGCAGGGTACAGCTTAATGGAATGCGTTCTATGACCATAATCCTCTTGGATTCATCAATTCCATCAATCCTCAGCTCCAGGCTCACTGTGTTATTCTAGAGGGAAGAACAACATTTAAATTGCTATTAGATTAGAGCAAAACCCCACTAGGAGGAGTCTTGAAGATCAGCACTAACATGGCCCAACCATCATTCTCTTGCTGGGCAGAGAAGTTGGTTTCCATTCTCACTTGGAGAAAGAATCTTTTGTAATGCCTATCTTCCCATTCAAGAGAATGGGACGCCTCTCCATGGGCTATGTTGAGGCTCAACTACAGTTGAGTATCACACATTAAGCCATCATATCAAGTCCACCACTGGAAGTATTAGATTGCTATCCAATACAATCAAGTAGAACCTCCTCTAATATTGCAAAAGTGGATTCTGTCACTCCATTCCCAAGAATGGGGAGGATCACTGACAATGGTAAAACAGAGCTCCAAGTCTTCGTGCCCATATTTACCAGCATGAACTTCAAGTCACACTGCCTCCTATCACAGGAAGGAGTCAGTTCAACCATCTCATCCACCCAAGAGCTTTATAGAGGTGACTAATTTCAGTGCAATCTTGGCCAATTGCCAGGAATTCCTTTTAACTGGAAAGAGGGCTTTGCAACCACATGACCCACAAGGAGCACCAGATTACAATATCTCCATTATTGGAGAATGTGCATTTAACTGCAAGTTCAGGAATGCCTTCAGCCTCACCACCTTTCTGCAAAAGAAATCAAGCTTTAGTTGTCTGATCTCTCCTGATCAGCTACCATTTGTTGCAGCAGTGGCATTAAGATATAGCCATCAAGATGCTATTTCCAATCCACAATACATATTAATAGAATTAAAGTCTGTACTTACCATTATGTGAACATAACATCCTTTGTATGGAGTACTGAAAAGCAAGGACCCATCTGCTTGTGGTAGAGTTGTATATGCACAGCTGCTAGGCAGTGAATGCAGGTCCCTTGGTATACCATAGTTATCTATTTAAAGAAATAATTGTTCAGGTGCAAAGGCAGTTGGAGTCAAACACATTGTTGTCCTAATTTGGACAGGAAGAATGGCAAAAGTGACCAAGCCAGACAGTTGCCATCCAGCTCAGTACTTAGTGGACACAGAATTCTGTGTGCACAGCTGTGAGGCAGCCAGCAAGATTCTTCTCAAAGTGGAAGACATGGAGTACAAGTTCTGTGCTTCCATGATTTTTGGTGCCAGCACCCATTCTTGTGGTGCTCAGTGAGCAAGCATGACAGTTTAACTGGGAATTGAAGGGGACTTATTTTCAGTCTTAATGATGGCTGCAACCAACATCAAGCCACAGATCACAAGAAAGTAGGGCATGAAATTGGAGGGGGGTGGGCAGGAAAAACCCACCAGGTCAGCCCTGATCTTATTCATCAGGAGGCAATCAGGCCCAAGTTAATTGGTGCATTAACTCAACAAGCACTAAAGGCAAACAAAAACACTTGTTTGTCTTTAAAGTCACTGTATGGAATGCCAGATGGTGTTTTAACACCCAAAGAGGTCCAAAACTTCACTGTTTAGTGAATGGGCATATATTCAAACCCAATGGTAGAGTCAAATAGTCTTCCCAAAATGTCATTGCTACTAAGAATATCCCTTATTTGTTGCAGGATGGAATTCTACAGAACTGTAGACTAGGAAATCCCATTTATTGTCCTGGAAATTATTCCCACATATGAAGGGCTTTTTAAAAAAAAAAAACCCCTTCATTCAGACAAACAGAAGCCATTTAAGATTACCAAGATTCTTGTATTAGACATCTATTTCAAAAAAAAAAAAAAAAACATTACATCCTTCAAAAGGTTAGTTTTACCTAGAGCCAGAGTAGTTTTGCTTTGGATAGTCCTTCTGGCACCAAGTCTCAACTACAGCCAGTGTAAGCTCACAAAAAACCCAACTCATTCTTTGGAGACATCACTCCTCATGCAGTTGAAATAAGTCAATTAAGATTACACCATAAAGAAAAGAGCTTTAAAAACAGGCCTACAAGTGAGCCTTGACGCACACCCAATAGCAAGGCATGTAGTTTTCAAAGAAAAAAAAAAAGACTGGTAACTTGTCTCACTCAGGGGACTCCTAACATGAGTGAAGATTTCATCATTACATTGGACAAGAAAAGGCAGAAGTAGTTAGAGAAAGCCTTGTTTAGAGGAGAAACTACCAGTCCTAGTATATAGGAATCTAATAGAGGCATTTTGCAATAGATCACAGGCATCTGAGGATATTTGGTATTATAGATTACACAAGGCAAAAATAAAAACACCTCAAATTGAGAAAATAAATCCCCAAACATGCGCAATTATTATTATTCAGAGGATGCTAGAGGCAGACATATAGCGGAACACTAACTGAAAAGGGTTTAAAAGTAGTTAGGTGGGGAGGCACTTATTTCCAAAGCATCCCCCATTGCTCAGAGCTTCATGACTTACCCACAATTGACAATCGAATGAACATCCCTTGAAATGAGTCATTGCGAATCCGCACCATAACTCCAGACGGCGCGCAAGTTATCTCCTCCGGATAGTCAAAGTATCGCACTGAGCCGTGGCTCGGGCGCCCCCGGGGAGCATCGAGCGTCCTGACCCTGAAAGGGTGACTCCAAAGCAGCAGCAATAGGAATAAGAGACCCATCTCGAACTGGCGATAGTTCTAACAGCAACGCCCCACTCCTTTTCAAGGCAGAGACCTCAGCCCAGTTAATGATGCCTCAACTGCAAGTGAATTCCATTGGGCGCCATCAAATGGCAGACCAACCACAACAGCTCTTCGTGGGGATTTGGCTGCATTCAATGATTAGTTAATCAACAGGGAAATGTCAGTGAGGAGAGCTTATCCCATGCCAAGAGTGTCCCATCAAACAAATGACTCATACAGTGTAGTTACTTATCCACATAGACCTCTTTACAGATGGTAAGTCGGTATCAAACATTGTACCATTGACTCTAGTTCCTCCTCCTTGTTATTTGGGGAATTTGCACTAAATCTCCCGCTAGTGGACGGAACCACAACCTCTACTTTTGACTTTGACACCTCAGTCATAGGCGGAGAGATTTGCAGCACAGAAACAGGCCCTTCAGTCCATCTAGCCTGTGCCATCAAAAACAGGCATTTGGCTATTCTAATCCTACTTTTCAACACCTGGCCCATAGCCTTGTATGCTTTGGCATCTATTGTCAAATTATCTGAATCATGATCTTCTCATCGATCAGTTCCTTCACATTTGAACAACATGTATCCAGAAGGCTTTCCATGAATTATAACATAACAGCTGGAATTTAGAACCATGGAGACTTGTATCAGGAATACACCATTCAAGCCCTTCAAGCCTCCTTCACCATTCACTATGATCGTAGCTGATCTTCTTTCCCAATGTTGTATTCCCACTTTCTCCCCAATCCCCTTGAAGGCTTTAAAATCTAAACATAGAACAATCTCTTTCTTGAACATAATTTATTGATCTGAAACAGCATTCAATATGATTTCAAACAGATTCCACTATGGGATGATCCTGAAGAGCTTGCCACTGAAGTAAGAAAAGTGGTCGAATTCTCACCATCTCTTCTGCCTCAGATGACTATTGTGCATTTTCTCCAGGCCAGAGCATTGGAAATGGAAGGATATCAGCGGACAGCGACTCCTAGGATGATTGACTTCCATAGTCGACAGCAACATAAATTGACTAGGACGCGTAGGCCAAATAGATGTGGCTGTATCCCCAAAGACAAATTTGCCATCAATAAGAGACCAGTACGTCACCCACTCCCACCATACAAGGATGTCGTAGGCAAGACCTTGGGGTGACAAGGATTGGGGTTGGTGTGCAGAAAGTCCTTGCTGCTGATGGTAGCATCTGAAGACAAGCGCTCAGTAAGGTCATGGAAAAAGCAGAGGGCAAGAGAAATGACCAGTTTGCAGAAATAAGTGCCCATCAGAAGGAAAAATATTGCACAATTTAGCTATCAAGCAGTGGTTGCTGCTGAGGGGATTCGCTCCAACAAATTGGTTTCTACAGCCACAACAGACAAAGTTCAATCCAGAAATGATAGTCATTTTAGCAGCAATCCATTGTCTTCTTCAATGGACATCAATTAGGAGGCATCCAAAGAAAACTTGCCTTTTTATATTGTATTTCACAATTTTTCATTTTCCAAAGGAACATAGTTTCGATGAGGTAAATTTGTCCTGTGGTTAATATTGTCATGCAGAGAACACATAATGTCTTATAGTGATGTTGATTGAAGGATGCAAATTGATTAGGATATCTCGGATAATTCCCCTGCTCTCCAAAATATCATGAGAATTTTCCCATCAACCTGTGAACAGATGATAGCTAACCTTAAAACCTCACCTGAAAAATGGCACCTCTACAAGACCCCTCAGTTCTGAGATGGGAATATTATCACAGAATCCCTACAGTGTGGAAACAGGCCATTCAGTCCGACAAGCACAAACCGACCCTCCGAAAAGCATCCCACCCAGACCCATCCCCCTACCCTCTCCCTGTAACCCTACATTTCCCATGGCTAATCCACCTAGCCGACACACCCCTGGAAACTATGGGCAATTTAGCATCGCCAATCTACCCAAACCTACACATCTTTGGACTGTGGGAGGAAACCAGGGCACCCAGTGGAAACCACGCAGACATGGGGAGAATGTGCAAAGTCCATAAGACAGTCACCCAAGGCTGGAATCAAACCCAGGTCCCTGGCGCTGTGAGGCAGCAGTGCTAACCACTGAGCCACCGTGTTGCCAGACTCTTGTGTTCATGTCTCTGAAGTGAGATTTGAACCCACAAGGTCTATGTCAGAAACAAGCACAGTATCAAATTAACTATGGCTGAGGCACAGAAGAGCAGTCACCTCCTGTTTTAGTTAGCTCAAGTCATCATTCTAGATATTTGTAATAAGGCTATTCACATGTGTGATGGAGCAGGTAGGATTTGAGCCCAGGCCTTTGAGCCCAGAGATGGGGGCACTACCACTGTACCACAAGAACTTGCAAGCCCCTATCCTAGAAAGTAGTTCCTGGGTTAGTATCTTTGCCAATGGGAAAATAAAGTGCATTCAAGTCAGGGAGCTAATCACATCGCTTCATGTTTCTGAAAGTGAAAAATATAAGGCTGGTTGGAGAAGGAGAGAGGCATAGCACTGGATTATCTTTAAGATGCAACTTGTTGTGCTCTATGATTTTGATTGTAATTATAATTGTTGCATTCTATGTGGTACGAGTTCCATTTTCTCAACCAATGCGACCAGAACAGATGAACCAGCCAATTGTCTGATTGCTGTGTGAGGCTTTGATGTGTGGAAACTATTGTACAAGTGACTGCACTTCAAAAAGGTAACTAATTGGTTGGAAGGTGTTTCGGAATGTTCTGAAGCCATTTAAAGTGCCTTATAAATATCATCAAATATCTTCTGTGCAGAAGTATGCCCCACAAACATTGGATTTGTTCTAAAGCTTTCATTATCCAGGTACTGAGATATGTTCACACACATCAGGACACTGTCTATCAGTGCCAATGTAGTAATCATTCTTTTTGGTGGATATGTATATGTAGAACAACTATAAGAGCTATAAAAGTGTAAAAATAACAGGAACAGGCCATTCAAGCTTGCTATGCCTTTCCATAACATCATAGCTGATCTTTTACATCAATCCCACAGTCCCGCATTTTCTGCATATCCCTTGAAATTCTTTGTATTCAAAAATCTATTGATCCCTATCTCAAATTCAGTGACTGAGCATTCATACCCCTCTGGTATACAGGATCCACGGGCATTTGGGTGGACAAATGTCTTTCACCTCAGTCGTAAATATTTATTCTGCAACAAAACTTTTAAGTTTAGGTTCCCAGTTGGGGAAAACCGTGCTCTCAGCATCCCTCTATGAATCTCTTTAAAAATGTATGTATGTGTTTCCAGGACGTCAGCTTTCAATCTTCCAAATTTCAAGGAATATACTCCCAATTGACTCAACTTCCTCACAGGACAATGTCCTCAGCCCAGGAGTCGGTCCAATGAACGTTTGCTGTACTCCTTCCATGGCTTGTGTCTCTGGAGACCCAACCCAATGAGTGTCCACCCATCGCAATCTGGCTGGGCTGAACTTGTATGCACATTGAACAACTTCTACTTTAACACAACTCATTCTTTAAAGTAAAAACCAAAAGAACTGCAGATGCTGTAAATCAGGAACAAAAGCAAAGATGCTGGAAGAGCTCAGCAGGTCTGGCAGCATCTGTGAAGAAAAAGTCAGAGTTAACGTTTCAGGTCCAGTGACCCTTCCTCAGAACAGTTCCTCAGAACACAATGTAGCTGTACCTGCAGGTTGCTCGTTTCACTCAACTTGGACCCCTCCTTAATCCCTTTATCCAGTATGCTGTATTGGTGCTTTCGCCCCGAACAGGAAAATTTCATCGATGTTGCTGCCAGTTTACACCTTGTCTCACTTTCACATGATTCATCTCCATCTTTCGCAGTCCATTTCCCACACAAACCACCCTCTGTGTGAAAATGTTGCCCCTCAGGTCCCTTTTAAATCTTTCCCTTTTCACCTTAAACCTATGCCCTCTAGTTTTGAACTCCCTACACTAGGGAAAAGACCTTTGCTATTCACCTTAGCTATGCCCCTCATGACATTATAAACCTCCATAAGGTCACCCTTGAACCTCCCACGCTCCAGGGGAAAAAACCCCAGCCTATCCAGCCTCTCCTTATAGCTCAAATCCTCCAGTCCTGGTAATAGCCTTGTAAATCGTCTCTGTATCCTTTCCAATTTAATAATATCCTTCCTATTGCAGGGTGACCGGAGGAAGTGGTAGATACAGGTACAGTTACAACATTTAAAAGACATTTGGATGGGTACATGAACAGGAAAGGTTTAGAGGGATATGGGCCAAAGCAGGCAAATGGGAATCATTTAATTTGGGAAACCCGGTCAGCACAGACATGTTGGACCAAAAGGTCTGTTTCCGTGCTGTATGACTCTATGACTCTACCTTCGTCCATTGATTTTCTGTCTCCATTTCTGGGGATAGGTTATCAACATGTATTTATGATAAACCCACTGACTCACACAATTACCCTGACTACGTTGCTTTCACACTGCTTTGTGTAAGAATTCTACTCTCCCAGTTTCTGCATCTCATCTGTTCTGATGATCCAACTATCCATACCAGTATTTCTGATGTGCCTTCTTTTTTACCTCAACTGAGAGAGATTCTCTTTGTGTACTGTTCACAGCTTACTTTCTGACTGAATTTTGTGTCATCAGCAAATTTGGATCCAGCATACTCAGTCTCTTCAACTAAGTCATTGATATAGATTATAAGTGACTGAGGACTCGAGGACAGACCACTATTTTAGCCCACTACATATAGACTTGCAGCCCCAAAAATAACTATTTATTCCCACTTCCCATTTATTTGGCAGTTAACAAAATCTCAATACAAAAGAACATTTTCCCCTATTCCCAGGAGCCCTACCTTTTGTGTATTAACCTCTTCTGTGATAACTTATCAATTTTTTTTTGAAAATCCAAATATACTATATCTATTGGTTTACCCATGCTCAACCTGTTGGTTATGATCTCAAAAAACTCTAACGTGTTTGTAAGCTATGATTTCCCTTTCATAAATCTGTGTTGACTCTGCCTAA